TTGCACATTCTACTATGCTAATAACAAGTCGGAGCTTCGAATATCCAAACGCGAGATGGCGTTGATCGAAAACTTTTGTCGCGCTCTTACTTATCGAAGTGTTAAAAATATTATTTCGAAAAATCGTTTTTAAAAGTACTTAAGAGATGGCGCTAATTTTTAATTCTTATTTTACTTTATCTTAACTTTAAAAAAGTATCTTTGACATTCAAGAGATAGCATTATCAGTCAATTCTTATTTTTTTTTATTTTTCCTCTATTTTTTATTTTTATATATTTTATTTGTGGCATTCTGAAAATAGTACAAATTTCAATATTTTTATCATTTTTTACTCTTTGTTTATACTTGTTTTTGGCTCATGATAAAGTGGTATGAATTGAACATATTTCGTCATTTCTCTTATAAAATTGCAATAAATTTTAATTTTTAAAGCAAAAAATTTCTAATTTTTAATAAATATATTTCTGGAACAGAAATTTTTTAAATTAAATTCTTTAATTCTTAAGCTCTCAACTAAAATTCTCAAATTAAAATTAAAACTCTGAGAAATAATTTAAGATTGTTTTTAAACTATTCAATAGAGCAGATTTTATTCGAACAAAAGACAGTTGTTATAAATAAATAAATAGTCTTTTTGTAAAAACTTAGAATTTGATCCAACTACAGATTTAATGCAAAATGATGGCTAATTGCCAATGTAATATCTGATGTAATATAAGCACAATCACGGATATAATGTATGATTAAATAAACAAACATGACATTGACTATCTAATTTCGTGTCATTCGTATAAAAATAGTAAACTAGTAATAAAATGTAGATATTAACAACTACTATTTTTACATAATGTAATGTACATTAGTCAAAACAATTCATCAACATTTCGTTCAAACGAAAATAAAAGAAATAAATATTCGCAGATTTCTATGAATAATTTCTCTCAACGGGTATCATTTTATTTATCGACGTTTAAATATAAAAATGTGAATGCGAAAAATAAAACGAAAGAAAACAAAACAAAAAGAAAAAAAAATGTAAAATGGCGCGTATACGAGATACAAAAAGATATGTATAAATAAAACATAAAAGAAAGAAAGGGAAAGAAAGAGTAAGTGAGAATGAGAAGGAAGAAACGTGGGAGAGAGCGTTGAAAGAGGGTTGCCAGTTGCAACCTTAACACAATTCTATTTCTTTCGATGCATCAGGCCGTGTGCTGAAAATGACGCAATCGAAGTGGCGACCGCGAGAATCTTCTGAGGAGAAGACGCGACACGTACGTAAAATGCGCTCCCTCGTACGTATGTACGGTGGAAAAGAAAAAGGCTGCGCGAAGTGGGGTGAAACGATCCGTAGTGGAAGACGAAGAAGCGTCTGGTCGAACGAGTAGAATCGTACGAACCTTCATCGTGGCCGCAATAGCGGATCTTTCATACTGGTGCCCACGTTAACATTTACGACGAGATAGCGAGTATCAGTCGTACGTGCAACGACCAAATACGTTATATCGAGCGAAAAGTTCAATAAGGTAGCACCGACGAACGAATTCATCAACCGAATTATCAACCGAAAAAAGGAGAACGAAGTGAAAAGGCAAAAATGGTTTACGAGAGCGACTTCTACACAACTCGACGACCCTACTCACGGCCTTTAGCCTCGTCTTACTCCATCACGGTCAGTATACATGGGATTGCCAACAGAGCGGGATGAAGTATGTCTTAATAATGTTTTTTGCTGGATGGCACTAACGTCGAATAAAAGCGTCAACTATGACACGGGAACACTTTAACCGAGACAATCCTTGTTGTACGGATTTTAATCGATCCAAGAGTCAACGTTTCGCTTCTCCTTTCAAATTCTCGATCGTTTCCAAAGTTTTTTTCCTTCCTTTCTTCGCGTCTCGATTTCTAACCTTTACGACGAACCATTTGTCAAAATGGCGAGACGTTGGCTCGTTCGCGATCGAGAATACAACGACACTCCTTGATTACCTTTTTTATTTCATTCACGAAATCGATCAACGACAGTCACGATTTATCAACGAAATACTGGGATCGTTGTATCACTGTCGATGGATCGAATTCGATGCATTTCGAAGTCTCTACTTCCACACTGTATTCCGGCCATTATTATTATTATTATTATTATTATTATTCGTTTACCAATGTTGTCACTGTTGCTACAATTGCTCTTTGACAAGTTTTTCTTCACAAATCTTGATACATGCACTCGGTGTCTCCCGAAAAATGAAACGAATACTTTGTTCGGTACGAATCGATCGTACTTAGCACAAGCCTAAATTTCAATTAACGTGCACACTTAACAGCACGGATCAAGTATGCCGTCGAGTATCAATTACCAGAGAGTTAAACCAGATATACGACTGCGCAGTAATAACCTCCAGTTTACGGAATTAATTTGTACCTGCATCAAATAAGCTCT